GTTACAGCTGACCACGATGCTTCTGAACTCAAACACTTTTGTTTGGTGGTAAATGGGATCAAGTTGTCCTGGATATGACTGTGAGCCTCTCTGATGTCTCAATGGATGTTAATTCTCATTAGTTTGTGCAGTACAGCCGACCCCCTCTGCGCTTTACACATTACAGTAGCCTGTAAATTGTGATGGATTGTGAGCGAGATTAGCTATTATGATCTGGTTTGTTTTAAAAGGTAGGTGGAGAGCTTCAGTGAAACATTGGATTAACAGGACGCCTCACTGCATTAGCAGAGTAAATGATCCAAATCCAGGGATCTCCTTTCAGCAGATTAAATTAAATCAACCTGAATCCCTATACAGTAACTGTTTGTGCTGCTATGTAAAACTGTACTATATACAGTGCATATATATATAATGCAGTCCTGTAAACTAAGTACATTCTTAATATTTTTAAGAGGGTAAATAGCAGCCAGGTTCTGCTAATCAAACACTTCTTTAATGGATCATTAGCACGTGTGGGCACCTCTATAAAAGTGTAGTTTTGTCAGTTTGTGGCTCTGGAGCTTTCTGGTGTGTGTTAATACAATGATGCAAACTTCCCAGAAGTGGTCGGTCTCCCCAAGGTCAGACTGGGCAACACTCAGAGAAACTGCAAAAAGCCCAAGAGCTGCATCCCAGACTCTACAGTCCACAGTTAGCATGTTAAATGTTAAAGCTGTTGGACTGAGTAAGCAGGGCTTGGTTGGAAGGGTTACCAGGGAAAAAACTCCCGTACTGTATTTGTTATGGCTTTATATTATTATCATAATATTTGGAATGTCTTAAAATGAAGAAGATTTCATAGCTTACAGGTGATATTGGACTGAAGATAGAATAGAATAGAAATATCCTTTATTGTCCCTCATTGGGGAAATTGTTCCAGCAGCAAAGTGACAGGTGGATGGAGCAGTTGGATTCAAAAAATAATGTGCAACATAATGAACATAATGCAGAGATATTAACAACTATAATATAAGTATAATATAAACAACTTGTTGTGTTTGTTGGGAGCAGTGATGGTTATAAAGTCTAACAGCTGCTGGGAGGAAGGACCTGCGATATCGCTCCTTTGTTCTTCATGCATGGCATAAAGACATTGTCCAAGAGTGATGCAGAGTTCTTCTGTCTCCTTCCACCTTAAAACAGAGCTGGCCTTCCTGATCAGCTTCCAACTGCTTCAGCTTCCTTTCAGCAATAGATTAGCTGCTGTTCCAACAGACAACACCATTAGAGATGGCTGCCACCACAGCGCCCCCTGGTTCCACTGGCACCAGTCCACAAAGTCCTGAATCCACTGTCTGTACTCTGACATATCCTCACCCTAATGAGGCTAGCGATGGGAGAGTCATTTGAGAACCTTTGTAGATGGCAGCCTGGGTAGAAGTCACGGGCGACCGTGGCTCGGGGGGTTGGGAAGTGCATCTGTAACCGGAAGGTCGCCGGTTCGATCCCTGGGCTCTCTGTCCTGGTCGTTGTGTCCTTGGGCAAGACATTTTACCCTACCGCCTACTGGTGTTGGCCAGAGGGTGGCGCGATATGGCAGCCTCGCTTCTGTCAGTCTGCCCTACAACCGTAGCTGCCTCCACCAGTGTGTGAATGTGAGAGTGAATGAATAGTGGCATTGTAAAGTGCTTTGGGTGCCTTGAAAAGCGCTATATAAATCCAATCCATTATTTCATTATCCATTTTTAAGTCTGAGGTGTAGAGGGTGTCTTCACCTTCTGTGGGCGACCAGTGAGGTAGTCCAGTATCCACTAGGACAGGTGGTGGTCCACTCCTGACAGCTCCAGCTTGTCCCTCAGAGGTCGGATGGTGTTAAAAGCACTGGAGAAATCTTCCAGGCTT